ACCCAGTTATCCTGAACATTTTGAAGATAAAAATACAGCTGGAAGCAATTCTGGCACTGCATTTCTTCTCAGTTTCTACATTTTATTTGAGAACATCTTCTTATTACAGTGTTTTGTCATATGAATCTTTATTCAGTTGTATTTATTGCTAGTTTGTTCTGGCTCAGGTTTTTTTCCCATTAATCACGTTAGGCTTAGCGCTAGGCTTGCAGAAGGTTTTGCCTGATCCCATTGCACAGAGCTGTGCATGGTTTTTTCCTTTAAACCGCTACACCCCACCTCCCCCAACGCGGGACTGTAATTGCACACCTAATCAATTTTCAGTGTTTTCCCTGCAGCGTTTTTTCAAATTTGTCAACTTTCTAGCTGCTTGCTTTTCATATTTTGATTAGATTACAGGAGCCTTACAAATATTTATCAAAGATCAGCACCATCTTTATGTTTGTGTTCAGAAAAAAACATTGTAGTGAAACCATTCCCAGCCGGGTACTTTGTTGACGATTTTCTGCTGAAGATCCGTACACTTGGAAATGTGCATGCTAACTTCTATCCTAGCAAAGTGGAAAATGATTTTTCATTAACTATTGATCTCTGTAACATAATTTTCATCATAAAATCTCCCAACAGTCATTCTCAAGTTTCAGTTTTTCCTCAGATATTTCCATGAGCCATGATTTTCTTTTTCTGAGATGTGGTATTTTCTTTCAAATGTCAAGCTTGCTTTTTTTAGACCTCTAATAATTAAGTACATCTTGTCTATATCATGATGATGATGAACTAGCCTTTATTTTAAGAGGGTTTTATTTGTAGATTGGTCTTGCAGTCCAAATGAATCAAGGAGGCTTTACCTGTTATTACATACCATTTCAATTGTCTTTTAAATAATGTATTGGCATCTTGCTGTAAAATTCAGGAAAACAAAATATGTCACTTGGTCCCCCAGTGCTTTAAAAGCTGTTCAGCCAGCCTCCCTTGAGATGTTGTTGTAAAATCCACAGTGCACAATTAGTTATGAATTTTACAGCTTTTTAGCATTCATGGCTAGACCGTTAATGAGGGAATAAATAGCAGAATTTTATTTAATCCCACACATTGCTTAACATGAGTTGTTAAGCAAGGTCCCTTTAGCAGAGGGACATCTGGATGCAGTATTCCGTCTTTTATGTAGAGGGTTAGGTCCACGCGCAGATACCTGTGGATGTAATGTAGACGTAAATCTCTCTTGACTTGAAGGGAATAAAATTGTAGGAAAAAACAGAGTGATGTTCACCTCTTCTAGTTTTGAATGTCTGCAATATAACTGTTTACATCACAGCTAATTGCTCAGTGGAGAGAAATAAATATTTTTGGGGTGCAATTCACTTGACCAAAGACAAGTATCTACTCTGGGATGAGATAATTATCCAGAGTACCTGAAGAGAAATGCTTATTTCTTTTAATCGGCTAGAGATGACGGCGTCAGAGGCAGACATTCACATTTGGTCAAAAGAATTCCACCCTTTATGCCCACCTATGCACTTAGCATACAATTTATTTCATTGCTGGGCTGCAATGTAAGTTCTGTCATCCTTACCAGTCTCGCTTATTCGGTGAGACTATTTACATATTAAAGTATTACTCAGCATGAGTAATGGTGCCTGCACTGAGGTTATGTTACAAGTACAGATAAGAGCAGTTTCCATTAGCGCTAAACTTTATCTCAGAAGAATCACTAGAGGCTGGCACTTTTCAGAGATTGTGCTTCCTTTTGATTATCCTCCCTTCTTGCAATAATTGACTCCAAGCAGTTCCGCCTCTGTTATTTGATGGAACCGAAATCTTTCTTTTTCAGAGATTTATTTGTGAAGTCTCAAGAAAGCGTGCGCTTCGGCATCAGATTGTCTGTGTAGATCGCAAGGAAATAGATTACTGAAGAGTTAAGGGAGTTAGCGATAATGTGGTGGGATAAAGGAGAGTGTAACTGAAGATAATGCAGGGTTTGGGGGGGATGAGACCCAGAACAATAAAGAGAGGGGAGAACTAGGTAAGACCAGGAGAAATAGAAAGTGGATGTACAAACTGATGAGAATAAACTCAGTTAAAATCTCTAATGGCCCATGCACTTACTTGAGCTGGACACCTTGTTCTGGTTTGCAGCATTTCTGTGATTAGTAAAACAAATGTTAGTTAATACTTTCCTCTGAAATTAGAATTAGAAATATGATTTCATATAGGTGACATTTAATGTGCATTTGGTTTGGCATGACAATTTTACACTCAGGTTGCTCTGAAAAAACCAAGGATTCTGGCCCACATGATATACCCCCTTCTGTGATCTATTTGGGATCATTGCCATCACTGCCAGTTCTGCACTACATTGGCAGTCTAGTACCATTTGGATCTTTGCTACTACAACTGGCCTTTCATTGAGCCTAACTCAAAATAAATCACCTGATGGACAAACGTAAGAAGCTGGTTAGCACATGAAAAAGAAACCGCAAAAACCTAGCTTCTTTGTCTGGCCCCACGGCCATGAGATATCCAGGGTCAGATTTTGCTCTCGGCGTGAAGATAGAGAATCTCATAAAGTCAATAGAAGCAAATCGTTTTAAGTGAATGTGCAAGCAATCCCCAAGCATTCACATACACTTGAATTCTAGGTTAAAAATAGTTTCCTCCAAAATACGGCGTGTTTGTGTAGATAGGAATATATACCTGCACTGCTGTATAAACCATTACTATAGAGTTCTCGATGGGCATATGAAAAAACATCCAATCTGTGTATATGGTCCATACATGCACAGAGGTCAGTAAACAATTGACTTATATCCACTAAATTCATTTCCCTCTTAATAATAACACTACTTAGCCCCCCAGCTCACTGTGCTTATTCAAGTTATATTCTAACAGCATCATAGCTGATTTCCATATTTTAACACACTGCCACTGGCTTCTTAACTGATAAATTTTCTTACGATTTATTATCTATACCGAAAATGTCTTTTTTTGTGTCAAAACAAGTATGCATTCGACATGGAGCCTCAGCAAAAGTGATGAGATAAATGGATTCTTCTCAAGTATCAGTTAATGTTGAGGGACTCCAGGTTTAGCTGTTTTCCACCTTCAGAACCCTATTAGCAGTGCTGTTGAATCCAGTATTCAAGAGGAACTGGAACTCGCTTGCCTTTTTGTTAACGTTGATGCTCTTCACATAACGCTCCTTAATTCGTACACTGAGCAGCCAAAAGGAAGCCTTGCAGTCCCCTGTCTAGCCCAGAGCGTGGAACTACCCAGATTTAATTCATATTTGAACTTGAATCTTTTGGGGGACGGGGAAGTCTTAGCTCACGCAACACAACTCTCACACAACTCGCTTTTGTCACACAACAGAGAGTTCACCACAAGCATCGAGAAGCTATTCCAGTAGTCTCACTGCTAAAATATGTGCCTATTTCTAAGTTAGAATTTGTCTAGTTTCTTCTAACGGACTTTGGATCTTACTATACCTTTGATTGCTGGCCTGAAGAGTCCACCACCAAAGTTACATTTCCTTTGTAGGTACCACAGGGTGTGAGCAAGTCACGCCAGTAACTTCACTGCTCTGGACTCCTAGGCCTTTCACAGTAAGGCATATTTTGACTGTAGCTGAATGCAATTCTTTTCAGATAATCCAAGCATGAGTTTCATTGGACAGTCTTAAAGGATGGTTTGTTCATAGTGATAATATTTAATTTCAGTGTTCATTCGTCTTTCTTCCGTACCTTGATCCTTTTCTCAGAAAGGGAAAGAGAAGCCCTTTCCCTTGATAGCTCGCATTCAGGTTCTCTTAGTTGATGCCACAAATGACTTGTGGCTGGCAGGAGTTTTGTGTGGCTCCTACTAAGCTGTAGGGAGGGAAGGCTTGCCTAGACCACCATCACAGTTCAGCTACTTAAAGCCAAGAGTGGTAACCTACCCAGGTTTTGGTGACACTAGCGTACGGGTTGTTGGAAAAGATGAGCTCAAGTCTCTTCAAACGGTGCTTCAGGCAAAAAACATGACTGAGCTCGGTGGAAGTACTGCTAATTTACACCACTGTGAAAGAAGAACTGCAAGTTCATTCTCTAAATAGGAACATGGGTCCTGCGACAGGTTAAAGACTGATACTTCTATTTTTTTTTTAAGCAGGCAAAATTTCCATTGGAAGTGTAACCACTGAGGTATCACTTCACAGCGGTAACTTCACTGAGAATTTTGCTTGTGCGAGGAATATTTGATGAGGAACTGAATCCGTTCTGTTACTTGGCCACCAGGCGTCACACAAAATAACAACGGAAATTCAGTAGAGAGTCACAAAAGCAATTCATAATTTGTATGGATATTGTGGCCTGAACCTCATTCTAACTGCATGTAGCGCTAAGATACCGAACTGGCACGTAAGGGACCAAGTCCTTTACGGCCATGTAGTCTGGCTGCGTGCCAGACTAACGCATACTACGCTGTGTCAGTCACCACGGGGCGGGCGGTGAGAGGACGGGACAAACGGCAGTATCCTCGCAGGAGAGCGATGGGAAGAGCTGCCTGGCGGTTAGAGAGCGGCCAGCCGCTCCGCACCCAGATCGCCGCACGCTTGCTTTCAGCAGCGTTCACGGGGCTTAGAGAAAACCACTCCACCGTGCCAGGCCCCATTGCGGAGAAACCTTTCCAGTAAGTAAATAACATTTAAGGAAAACATTTCCAGTACGATTCATGAAGTACAGGACGAAACCGGGTGGGAATTTACCCCTCCCTAGCGCTGTTAAGGAGACAGTGCAAAAAATAGTTTGTGTGTTATTCCACCAGGAACACCTTGTAATCTTACAGGAGCTATTTTCCTTCTCCATACGTCCAGTAATGGAGATGAAGACTTTGTGGAAATATGAGGTGTTTTTTATTAAAAATAGTTCTTTTAATTTTTTCCCCTCCATTCTAGGGGATTAAAATCTGTAGAAAACACACAAAACTCCCTTTCTTACCCCTTCCTCTTCTCTGTGATTATTTAGATCCCTATGTGAAAATCCATCTGATGCAGAATGGTAAGAGGCTGAAGAAGAAAAAGACGACAATTAAAAAGAACACCCTGAATCCCTACTACAATGAGTCGTTCAGCTTTGAAGTACCATTCGAGCAAATTCAGGTAATGTCAAACAGTGTTTTGTCTTCTCTCTGCATTCCATTTCTCAGCCCTGATAAATATTTAACAGGAACCTTGTTAATTATCACGTGTGCATGCCTTCATTAGCACCTAGGTGCCAGTCTTGCGCTACATTAGATGAGTGTGACTGCTTCAAGAGGGAACAGATAAAATGCACAGTACTTACGAAGCTTTGATTCATCAGTGAGAAATGGATAACTGACATTTTATGTTAATCCATCTGATGCAGAATGGTAAGAGGCTGAAGAAGAAAAAGACGACAATTAAAAAGAACACCCTGAATCCCTACTACAATGAGTCGTTCAGCTTTGAAGTACCATTCGAGCAAATTCAGGTAATGTCAAACAGTGTTTTGTCTTCTCTCTGCATTCCATTTCTCAGCCCTGATAAATATTTAACAGGAACCTTGTTAATTATCACGTGTGCATGCCTTCATTAGCACCTAGGTGCCAGTCTTGCGCTACATTAGATGAGTGTGACTGCTTCAAGAGGGAACAGATAAAATGCACAGTACTTACGAAGCTTTGATTCATCAGTGAGAAATGGATAACTGACATTTTATGTTACAGAAATGGTTTCTGAAAAAAAAAAAAATCCACAGGGAGACAGTGAAGAAATGTGCCTGCAGAAAATGTAGGGATAAGAGAAAATGAATATACAGTAATTTCCCTCATATTATTTGAAATGCTAAATTGGCATCATCCATCACATTTGTTTTACCTATGCTTTAATAGTTACTGTTTGTTGAAAGTATTGCAGCATCCCATCTTAAGTAAAACACACTATTTAATCACAAGTTTTTTTCTGTTTTCCACCACACCATGAAAACTTTTTCAGTGGTTCCTATGTGCCTTGGAAAGGCATTTGATAGTCTCAGCGGTCAGGACTGCAGTATCTGTTTTCCTGGCAACTCAGTGGAGTTATAGCCCAAAGAGTTCTCCAGGTGCTGTTGCTGGGGATCTCAGTGCCTAAAACGGGGGCTCTCAGACGCCAACACACTGAGCTGGAAGTCAGCTATGCTAGCCAAGGAAAATGCCAGGAAGAGGGACCATGCCATTTGTCAGGGACTTAGATACCTGCCTGTGGGCTGCTGGGAAGCAAGTCCTCTCTCACTCAGGTTTAACTTCTCCTGACGTTAACTAAGCCTTTCTCACGGGAGAAGGGGTGGAGGTGTCCTTAACCGTCTCAGAGACATATGGGAAATGCACACGCCGTAGCCTGCCCTCCCTACGTGAATTTGTACCTGTATCTTCAATGCCTCAAGCATGTACACCAATCACCTGTGGCTACGGCTTGTGTTGGGATTGTTCTTCTTAAATAACGAAGTAAATGGCCACAGAGCCGAAGTTGCCCTGCAAGCTGGGTGGTTCACTGGGAAAGGGAGAGACCTTGGGTCCGTCCTCTGATCCAGCTTGTGTAAACTTCACGAACATCAGTTGTTATGGGCCACCTACATTTTTGTTAAGTCTTAACCATTACTGTTGAATCATGTTTTCTCTCTTGCTCGCTTGTTAGAGTGACAGGGCAGGACATGGACAGGGCAGGATGTGTTGGAGGCAAGAGCTGCATGCTGGCTTTCCACCTGCCTGGGGGCCCTGTGAGCCTGGAGCTCTTTAGCAAGACAATATCTTTTCTGCGTGGGCCTAAGGGTGGAAAGGGTACTTTCAGGAGCCTCCCTGCTTTAAAGGCAACAGCCAGGGAATTCTTACTTTTGTGGGTTGTTAAGAGAGGTCTAGGAATGAGTTTTAGATGCTTTGCGACTGTCGGGATTTAAACGGCTTGGGCCAAATTTGGAGCCAAGAGCCCATTTCAGAGAAAACTCTTAGGCTATAGGAACTTGCAGCATCTTCTTGATGAGATGGGAGCATGGTAAGGGTTTTGACAGTCTATATTCTGGATTTTTATAGCAACTGTAGTAGACAAGATGAGGCCCCGGGAATAGTGACTTGGAAGCACGACTAGCTCATGTAAGAGTTTTTTTCACATCCCATAGTGTGTACAGGTGCCTGTGGAGTTTAGGAATCAGAAAGTGGGAAATCCAGTGGGACCTAATGCCCATTGATTTTAATGAAAGTTAGTCTGTGCGCTTGTGAAAAAGCTCGTAATCAGCATCTAAGAACCAGAGCAGGTGTATTCTGTAGGTGTTTGGGCATTTTGTCTTCTAATCCTACATCAGTTTAAAAAAGTGGTAATAGGCCCTTTAGAAAGAGTTGTAGTTTAACTGCTCAAAATTCTGCTGCATTTTTTGATAAGTTTATGGGAATGACTTTATAGCTATTTACTTCAGTATATAGCTGCAATTTAAAATCTGTAATTATGGACTTTGGTCATATGCCAATGTATTTTGAAATTCGTTATAAAAGACTGTATTTAGAAGTGATTTCATTATGGCTTCTGAAGTAATTTCATCATTAGAAAAACACATTTTAAATGTTACTTAGAATTAATAGTGTAAAAGAATCACGGTGACCTTTGGCTAATTCATGTATAAGTCATTAAGTAAACTTTCACTGTCAAATAAGAAAATAACAGTTATTCCAGTTTCATGATGGTATGAAAGCAAAGATAAGAGAGATCATGGAAGGAAAGCAGAGCTGATTTTGCAGCTCAATAGCAGTACAGCCATGGAATTTAAAAAGAGGCAAACATTAACATTTTTCAACAATTTAATAGCAAACACAAATTCTGGCTCTTAAGGGAAATGTGTATGTAAGCTCATGTTCACAGCTGTGCATTATCACAGAAGACTGGTGCAAAGAAGATAATGGTGGAGCAGCAGGTTTTAAAAACAAAACCTTAAAAGAGAAGTTACATCTTGAAAGGCAATGGGAGGCCCCACTGGGAAGCCAAGCCCTGCTGATACAGGCAGATCAAGCCTATGTTTTGCCACTTTCGAAACGGATCATGGCCGTACATAGCAAAGTGGTCATGTCTCCAGACCCTTTCGCTCGCAGGAAGGCCCCTTTCACACCAAAGAAACTGCTAATCCCAGTGTTTGTTAGCAGAGGTGGTGCTTTCCACTAGCACCAGTTGTTTTATTGCACTGCAGTTGTTCCTTCAATATGCAGTACCAAGGGGCAGAGATGCTCACAGTTCTCTGTAGGTTTAAGCCAGAGACCATGAGCTGAAAGTCATCACAAGAGTTAATCATCTGAGCTTTATTGATCAATGAATAAGTGTCTTTCTTTGTTTACAGTGCCTATTGTTTTGCTATGATTAACAACAAAAAATCCAACAGTAACTAGCTTCTAGGTAGAGCAGGCAGATTTTTTGTACCATAAAATAATATGCCTGCTTTCTATATCTGTGATTGTACCGTGCATCTAAAACAGAAACGTTCATTCGGGGAGGTACCATCAACATTAAAAGTGAGGATATTGCAAACAACAACACTGAAGCATCATTTTGGCATCTAGGAACACTGGCTTAAGGATGTTGCATTTTTATCATGAGTGCTCTGGGGAAAGTCTTGTGTCGGAGGTACACTTTTGTCAGCAGCAGCTATGTAAATACTTTTGTGCCTTTTGTAAGCATGTCTTTCTCTGGCTCAGTGATTTGCACAATCTTCTAAGGGACCCTCCTGAGTCTGGTCTTGTAGACGTGCTTAAAAGAATAAATCACTCTTAAAAGATTAATCCTATTACTGGCAACGAAATTAAACATGCTAATAAGAGCTCAAGGATCTACTTTTACTTAAACCTTAAGTTAAAAAACCTGATGCTTGAGAATAACGACTTTTCTGGAAGAAATGCGCTTCAGTGCATTTCTTCCTCCAATTCAAGAAACCTGTATGTGGAATAAGGAGCTGTATGTGTTTATCATGGGATGGAACAAAGTCAGGAAAATAGCTGCATGTTCCTCTTTAAAAATTAAAGCCTCTCAGGAAAAGTGTTTACTGCTAAGTAAAATCAGTCCAAAGCTGTTAAGTCCTAGATGCCGTTGAGAAAACACCATGCCACTGGAGGAATAGCTGCCCGTGCTGTTTTAACAAATATTAATGACCTGACGGAGAGGAATGAGTGCATGCGCACGCAAACACATACGCGAATGCCTAACTTGAACATCACCTCTCAATTTGCCCCAGTCTAAGCGAATGGAAAATTGTCTATGAGCTCTGACAGATGGGCTCTCGCAGATTTTGTGGGAATAGTTTAACCGCGTTTGCCAGAGGTTACTGGTCCTACAGCGGAAGTGGTACTCCAGGGCTGGCACAGTCGCAGGTCAGACTCCAGAGTATCTGGCAGAGCTGCTGTGTCAGAGGCCTGAAACAGTATGGTTTATACTGCTTTCCATCGCCCCCTGCACATCCAGGCTATTTTCTTGATTCCTTTATACACACACACACACACACGCACACACAGAGGTATATAAACTGTGAGGGCTATCTTATGAATTTAGCTGCAAGTAACCAGCATGCTGGGTGGCTGGGACCGAGTTTAGAAGTAGAAGGGCAACTAACAGAATGAAGTTAGACATTGCAGATTATACCTTGGAGCAGAGCCGTTTCTGAATTGCACCTGCTGAGTTTAACTTACTTAATAGTGATGTGCTAAATTGCACTGCTTTTCATTTAGCTTAGCTTAAGATCTCACTTTTAGCTCTGTAGACCTCTAACAGTCTGATTCTTCTAAAGAACAACAAAAAAATCCACAAGTTGTTAATCTGTTAAAGGAAGAATACTGCTTTGGTTCCCGTATGATGCTCTTTGATGCAAAGGGACGAATTTCAAGTGAACGTGAAGGTTTTGAACCTAATTTCCTTTGCAAGACTCATAAGAAGCAAACACTGAAAGCTTTGAATTGAATTTGCTTATTGTTGGAGGGAATTTGCTCTGACTGCACTTACCCACTTGGTATGCATAGAGTCTGAATTGCAGTTGTCTGTCCTGAGATTCATCCCTGCCCACCTTCCAGGATGCTCACTGGTCTTTCTTTGTCTCCTTTTAGAAAGTGCAAATTGTTGTGACTGTTTTGGACTATGACAAGATTGGCAAGAACGATGCCATCGGGAAAGTCTTTGTGGGCTACAACAGCACTGGCGCGGAGCTGCGACATTGGTCAGACATGCTGGCCAACCCCCGGCGGCCCATTGCACAGTGGCACACCTTACAGCCCGAGGAAGAGGTAGATGCCATGCTGGCAGTCAAGAAGTAAATTAAATTAAATTAAATTACAAAAAAATATATATATAAGAAGAAGCCTTTCTGCATTTGCCCACATAGTGCTCTTTAGCCAGTATCTGTAAATACCTCAGTAATATGGGTCCTTTCATTTCCAGCCATGTGTTCCTGACACAGATCAGTTGTACTTTTAAAATCCTGTTTTAATTTGCACAACTTTAAATGTAGAGAGCCCTCTAAAGGCGCTTCATTTCACCACTGCCCCCCCAGATCTACTCTTCTTTTAAGCAATATGATGTGTAGATAGAGCATGACAGAAATTATTTATTGTATCACACAGTTGTATATATCAACAGTATGCTGAGAATTTATTTCTAGTTTGTGTATTTGTATGTTGTAAGCGTTTCCTAATCTGTGTATATCTAGATGTTTTTAATAAGATGTTCTATTTTAAATTATGTAAATTGACTGAGATATAGGAGAGCTGATAATATATTATAGGGTAACTACTGTATCGTCTGCATTCCAGAAAAAATTTCCAACTTGTAAGGCACTAGTAGTGTTACACTGACATCTTAAAGGACAACTTAAATCTGAGCTTTCAACTGAACCGTTCTACTAACACGCTACACGTACACAGTGAATCTGGGAGGGGCAAATCCAATTTGGTAGACTTCTTTCACAGGCAACTTAGCATGATCTGAGCAGCTCCGTGGCTGACCTCAAGGAAATGTAGCCAGAAGCCAGGCGAGAACTTTTCCTGTACATATTCCAAAGCAAACACGCAACAGACTGAAATGGCTTTAGATTGGAAGTTGAGGAAGCAGTTCCATAGGAGGGGGAGAGATTCAACAGTAGCGACGTGCTGCCATGAAAACAAGAGTAGCAGCTCTCCGTTATCACCTTTATACAAAATTTGCATACTGTGAATTCCATCCACGATTTCACATGATAATGAGTTTGCACATTAGACTTTGTAACAAAATATTTTATTATACTAACTCAGATTAAGAAGGAATGCAGAATATTTTTTAGACACAGCCGTGTGAGTTTATTATACAAAATAGTTTCATGGTAAACAGACAGTATTGTAATCCCATCAGAAGATGACAAAATTTAGCCATAGTTCTAAATGCACTTCAAAGTAAGCCAAAAGAGAACAGCTAGTGACCTTTTATATACTATTTATACTTAAGTTTTAATTTGTCCTTTAAAAAAAAAGTGAAAACAAACAAAGAACAAGTTCTAGAAAACTGAAGCAACCTCTTCTGTATACTAGATGCTCGTTTCAGGAGGAGTTTTTAAATGTTTTCAATGTTATTATGTAGTAAATGGCACTATTATGAAGCTATTAGTCATTCCATAAGAGTCTTGAAAGACTGCTCTGTGTATCACTGTGACTGCCGTGTGTGCTTAGAAATGTAGTTTTCTCAGTGGATAGCAATCAATTTATTCCGTAGTGATATTGTAATAATACTGCCATTCCCTTCTACTGCACTGCCGAAGGACCGCATAGCACAAGCAGTTCTAGTTATTACGGACCAATTTAGAACTGGAGGGCTATGCAGGGGACAAGGATGTTATATAGACTGGGTTGACCACGCAGCATTTTGTCAAGCCCTGTGCAATATTCTACGTTTCCAACCACCCTCCTCCCCCCCCCCCCTTATTGTGGACAGTCATCTTACGGCTAGACAGCATGTCATCTCAGCTTGTAGCATCTCATCAGGTCATTTAGGGCATCACTTCGATCTTATGTACCATCCTTTGAGGCCCCTTGTTTATCTTTCCGAGCTGTGAATATATTCATAATGCTTTGAAGATTAATTATTTTCAGCACCGCGAACTACCCCAGAAATGTGGAATTGCTATACCTTTTGGACGGAGGCATGAGATGTGAACTATTAATGATGTTATCAATTGCATCTAAAACAAATTATTAGCGGGAGAAAAAGAAAAAAAGAAGGATGTGACCACAGAATTCTGTACTGAAAACTAAATTCTACACCCTGCTCCAAGGCTCTGCTCCTGAGAGAGGTGTGACAGTCTGAGGGGTCAGTGAGATGGCCAAGCACCAACATTTTCAGTACATTGGGAGTACAGGAAGCAGCATAGAAATGGGAGAATAAAAAAATCTGAATCACTCCCCACCTCCAAAAGTAAGAATAGCAAGACCCATTTTTTTTTTTTTACATGAAACATGGGAAAAACACAAGTGAGACATTTTCTGATCTAAACAGGCGCATACATGCAAAGCATCAAGCTGGAATACTTTAAAATCTTAACCTTAAGGACCAAACCCCACCAAAGAGAAGAAGAACTAGACAGAGAGATTTCCAGCAAGAGAGCAGATATTCAGCTTCATGATACCAACTTTAAGTTGTTCATTCAGGATAGCTGCAGGTTCAAACTGCCAGAGCCGATGCATTGTGTGAAGGTATTCTTAATGCTTTCTCTTCCTACACTGCCAGACTGAATGTCACCATAGAATTGGTTTGTAATGTACTATGATTCTCAGAGACTGAACCTGCTATATGACCAAGATGACATTTTCATCCTCAAAGAAGCCACATGTACCTTTCTGACAAAGCTGTGTGAAGTATTAGAATCTGATGCTGTAGAAAGATCCTAGTTGCCTTTGTGTATATTTACTGCCTGCTTGAGTGTTTCTCTGTGTGGGTTTTCTCTGTATCTTGTAGAAATGTTTGGGGTGTTTTATCCTGCCATATCGCTCGTGGCCCGCGAGCTGACAACTTTAGCCGTCTTTTACCTTCATTTTTGATGAGGTGGTTTATATTTTGTTTCACTTTGTGTAGTGACTTCCCACAGTAGTTTTCCAATTGTCGTTAAAATAACATACATATTACACAGATATTCAATAAAAATGTTTTATTTCCTGTTGATGTTTTAGTGTTTCTCTTCTGATTTGAAGTTAAAAAAATTTTTTTTCACCCTAAAACTTTAGCACAGTCATAATTTAGCAAGTTTTCCAATTGTAACGGCTGCTTCACCTTCAGAGGAGCTGCTAACCGCTGCTTTCCCTGGTGTGGTCTTTCACAAGACACTGAGCTGCAGCCAGGCGTTTGCCAGCAGAGGAGTTCTTCATCTCTATTGCAGGCTAAGAGGTATTACCCTGTTTTCCCAAGGATTTTGATTATTTGGCCTCCAAGAATATCATTCTTTATCAAAACATAGGCTAGTTTTTATACAGTGACAAAATGCCAAGTAGTGCCCCATGCAGTACTCCAGGGAATTGCGTTACAGCAGCAGTAGAGGTTTCAGTTTGGACAGAGATGGCATATTTTAACCTAGATGCATGAGCTGCTTCTAAGCTTGCCACAAAATCAAGCTTCTTGCAGCCTTAAGATCATTAAATAAGAGATTAATACTGTTTGTGGAAAAAACGATGTGGGAGGAGGTGAATCCACAAATAAAAAATGATCAAAACAGCATTGTGCGATGAAGTAATTTAAGTTCCTGAGCCTATCAAGAGAAATAGCCCAAAAAAACCTGTAGCCATGTTTGTTTTATATAATCATTTTCTGCAGCAATCCCTGCTACCCTGCTCTCAAAGGAAATATGCCCATTCCTTTCAGGAATCGCATTATGGTAATTACTGATATGTACCCTTTTAAACACAGCCATTGACTGCACCAAGGCTTACTAAGAATTAGTGTGAGCATTTTGTAAGTGTTTCCAGGGCAGACCACCTTCCCTATTCCTCCTGCTCAGCATGTGCTCTCTTTTCTCCCAGCTGGTTTTTTTTTTCCCATCACCTAGAGTCAATGAGCACCAAACGGATGAGATGCCACTTCACCTTCAATCTCTCAGCAAGTGAGGGCAGGCCATCTCCAGGAGGCTCTTGGTGCCAAAGCGAATCTGAGAGCAGTTGCTCTTTCAAAACTGCCAATGACCAAGACCTGCATCTGTGGCTTTGCAGACCTGCGGGGAGGTGCTGCTTGTTCGGTCTGCAGGAGCTGAGGTAACACTCTCAATCCTTCAAGGTACTTCCCTATAGAAACCAGCAGGCACCAAGTTGTGGAGGCTTTGAGATGCTGCTGGTCCTTTCTGCTACGAGGTCGTCCTTTCTTTGTCATCCAAGCTGCTGCAAGATCAGACCAAGCAGGCACTTCGGCAGGCACCAAGCTGTGGAGCTATGAGATGCTGCTGGTCCTTTCTGCTACAAGGTGGTCCTCTCTTTGTCATCCAAGCTGCTGCAAGATCAGACCAAGCACGCACTTCCCTAAGAGCAGCAGTTTGCTTAAGAATGGACTCGGATTGTAGGCTATCAATGTAAATAAATAAAAACACTTTGATCCTGCACATATTGGCCATTTCTGCTCATGTTGAGAATACCATCTTTGTCAATCAAAATGAGTTCTTCTAACAGAGCTAATCAGGTAAAGCTAGTCATTTACAACTAATGTAAGGAAAAATGCTTCATATAATAGCTGTTATACTAAGTAGGAAAAGCAGCAAAAATTACCAATTTTATTCAGCTCATTTAACCCCTAATCAACTGTCAAGAAAAACATTCTTCCCAACTGACAGACTCAGTTACCAAAGCCAAGGATCTACATCTTTCGATCACTCTTCACATCATGAGTCAATGAAAGTTAATTGCCTGTTATTTATGCAAAGCAAGAATTAGATCATTATATTTTCTGATTACTCTAACAGTCAGTTCCCTTGTTTATTTATGCATTAGCATTTTCACTCCAGGCTCCCAGTTCAGTTTTTTATACACAGACTGTCCTGCTTTTCATACATCTAGCAAATTCTTGTCCAGCCCCTATTTTTAGTGTCAGTTAGAAGCCAAACTTTGTTTTGGTTACTGTCCAGAGGAAAAAAAAATATATATGCTGAAATGATTTTCTGTATATATCACAGAGAGGAATTTCTTCTTACACTGCTTTGTTTTATGTGTTTAATGATTGCTTTGATGGCACCTTTTTTAAAGCATAGCTCACAGTTTTGCTGAATCTTAGTTACCTTTACCTTATGTGCATTAAGTCCTTTCATACTCAATATAGAGAATACTTTTAATATTGCACAGAAGACTAGTTGCAACAGTACGTGACAAACCAGCACAGAAAGAAGTTTAACTCTTTACGGTACTTTGTGACTGACACCTACGCCATATTTTCAGACACAAGCAGTTTACTTAAAGATCTTGCTGTGTTCAACCTAAAAAGAAGGTTCTATAAACTAGAGGATGTTCTAGACATACTTCATGGAGCTTATGAAGAGGCCAGATATGCTGGGGGCAGGGGGTAAAGAGTCGTCTTCCAAGCTTTTTTAGGTGGTGAGAAGATGGAGAGGCGAGTGGTTTAATCTTTTTGTTGTATACATGCGCTATGCCAAAAACATAGTGAGCTTTTGATCCAGCCATTTAGAGAAAAAACCCAGACAAACAATTTCATCTTCTGACAGAACCAGACTCATCATTTTGACAGCTCACATTTAATTTCAGTCAACCATTTCAAAACTTTGTATACTCTATTATTGCTTACAAAAAACAACAAAAACATTCAGTACGTGATACACTCGTGTCATACGTTAAAAAGAGGCAACATCAGGTTTTGTCAAAACGTCAGAAGATCGATACATAAAAGTGGCAGAATATTCTCTGATCTGCTAATCAAGATTACCCCACACTCCTGCACATATCTCCCAAATTTTGCCCTTGTTCTTCCAGAGTCCACGGACAATTCTCTCTTTATTCATCAGATACACGTACTTACTACTCTAGCAGGTTTCTTCTTTCGTGTCTCTCTTTCCTAAGAAGAGCACCCACTACCACTGAGAGTTGCTTCAAAACACTGAAAATGGATCTGTA